GGGGGGGGGGGGGGGGAGAGAGAGGAACGGAGGGAGCATGGTGCCAGGACAGGGAGCAAGAAGACCGGAGAGGACGCACCTCCGTGAAGTAGGTAATACGCATGTGGGCATACTCCGGCTTGGCCACCACATCGGCCATGTACCGAACGAACTCCTTCTCCCAGGCGTAGGCCATGTCGAGGAAGTGCTCGTCCAGGGAGTTGAGGTTGGCGTAGGTGATGACGAAGGCCTGGGCCGTCATGTAGTCGGTGTCCTCATAGCCGCCGAGGACGATCTGGGTCTTGAGCGGGTCCTGGAAGGACGGCAGGCAGGGGGGATGCTGCGCATCGCCCGGGAAGCTGGGGTTGGTGACACACAGCTATGGATGGGGAGATGGGGGAGGGAGCAAGAGAGGGAGAGGACCGGGCAAACACACACACACACACACAGACACACAGACAGGAAGGTTAGTCCGCAGGGCACAGACGGGGGGATGGGACATAGGCGAACGGTGGAGAGGGGGCGCTCTTCGACGAAGAGGACGAAGAAGAAGAAGAAGAAAGGGCGCAGCGAGTTTTCACGCCGAGGAAGAAGACCACACGCACCTTGAAGTGGTCCTCCCAGTTGCTGAGGTACTTGTCGAAGACCGCCTCATCGCCCTGCCAGTACTGGGTGACGGACTGGACGACGCAATCCTCCCCCAGGGGCTTGAAGCACAGGTCCGAGAGGGTGACATTGCGCGCGGAGAAGCTGTCGCCAACCGTGGCATGCAGGTTGTTGATGCCAGCCTCCACCTCGAAGAGGAAGCGCATGGTGCTCTCGGTGATGAGCTCATGCTGCTCGGGCTGGTTCATGGACACGATGAACTGCTGGGTCCGGTAGAAGGGCCCGAAGTTCTGGTCGAAGTAGTCCTTCTGCGTGCGGGACACGGCATTCGGCGCGACCCACAGCTCGATCGGGTCCACCTCGATGCGGAACCAAATCAGCCCCAGCAGGCACACCTCGATGGCCAGCAGGCCGAAGAGCAGGGTCAGGGCCGGGTGCCGGGCCACACGGAAGCCCAGCTTGAAGAAGAAGCGCTGCATGTAGTCATAGAGGACCCAATCGGCGGCCCGGGTGTCGCGATTCTTCTCGGATTCCAGGACCTCGGACTCCACCTGGTGGTAGAGGGCCTCGGAGACGGTGTCATCGCGGCCACCGAAGGAGTCCTTCCGGAGGAGGGCATACGCCACCATGGCCGTGGCAAAGAGCCCGTAGATGATGATCAGGCTCAGCGACAGGCAGGAGATGGACCCGACCATGCACATGACGCCGGTCTCCTCCAGGGGAACCGGGATGGGGCAGGACTTGGCGCAGTCCATGCAGGCGCACCGGAAGTCCGGGTTCTCATCGTCGCACCGGTAGAGCGACACGTCCAGCGGCTGCATCACCGGGTCGTAGGGCTCCGTGGTGTCGGGGAAGAAGATCTTGAAGGGGGAGCCCATGGCCTGGAGAGGGTGGCGGG